ATATAAAGATACAAAAATTTGAGATAAGATCATTTTAAACATAAGTCTTACATAAAATTATATTCTTTTTTTTTTTTTTGAGCTTTAGGTTGTAAAAATGAAACTCAAATTCCACTTCTTACTTTCATTGGAAATAAAGTTCTACTAAGCCACTTATTTATGGCTCCGTTTATTAGGCCCAAAGAAAACAAAACCGAGCCTGGGCCATTGGAGTGGACTGTTAAACATCAGTTGTATTAGGGTAAAAGGCTGTTATAAGTAGGCCCCAAAACCACCCAACGTTATGGTTTTAGCTCAACTCGATTTGGGTGCATGGGCTCTCTTTAACCAATTCGGTTCCAAACAAGATCCTTTGGGGGGTGAGGTTCCCTTATCGACCTAAAATGAAACCCAGAAGGTTCTCACTTCTCTCCAAACCCCTATTCAAATCAAACCCTCCTCCCCTTCATCCCCTTCATTCAAATTCCATTTTCGTTCTCTTCCTCAATCCTCTTTTTGTCCCTAATTTCCTCTCATTACTTTGCTTTTAAAATGCCTCCCCTCAGCAAATTGACTCTGCTCATCACTCCATTCATCCCAATTCTTGGGTGTAGCGAGGATCCATGCAATAAAATGTGGAGACCAAATAAGGACTCGACTTAACCTTTTCCTCATCTGTGGCTGGAGAGAGAGGGAGAGAGAGACCAAAAGGAATTAAAAAACAAACAAACGGAGGAATAGGTTTGAAAGCAAGAGAACTACTAACCTCTATATGCCCCTTTGTATTTTTGTTGCTTTTTAGATTACTTGTAAAATCTGGCTCATATTCAAGCAAATCAAACCATCAGTGAGTTCAGTCCCGAGTGGCTTAATTCCAACTAGAAAAAATGAAGTGGGAATTGGGCTCTAATAGGCCTTGCAAGACAGTAACAACTAATCAACTATTGTCATCGTCATTCATTCCTAACCGAGACTTAATTCAAGAAAAATGGCTAAGAAGAATTAAGTTGAAGGTCTCGTGTTAAAATACTGACGCATGAGAAGGATTGTAATTAATGTGTTTAAAAACCAACCATTAAATTAAAGTCCTCATGATCTAGATAATGAAAGTTCTAATCTATTTTGTAGCTACGAGCATGCAGAACAGAACAGCGAGGAAAAGTTTTTAGCAGGGCCAATAAAATATGGTGCTAGAGCCACTACTAAAAAACCATTTTTCAGCAACATGGGAGCACATCGGTGAAAGTGCATCCCATGTTGCTGAAAGTCTTCTAGCAACAAGATGCATGTTGCTGATGTCTTTGTTGGAGATACTGTGCTCGCTGATACATCAGCAACAAGGTTCACGTCGGTGATTCCTTGGACCCTTTTCAGCAACGTGCACTATGATGCTGAAAGTGAAGTTTCACCAACGTAGTCTATCTTGCTAAAAAATTTACCGGAGCCGGTCATCGGAGTTGTGCAACCTTTTCAGCAACATGAAGTATGTCGGTGAAAGTTTATTATCACCGACATGGTTTATGTTGCTAAAAATGGTCACCGAAATTGTCTACCGGAGTTGTGCACCCTTTTCAGCAACGTGGGCCTTGTTGCTGATACTTTTATGAATAGTAAATCAACTTACTTTCAACAACAAGACTCTTGTTGCTGATAATTTATGAAATAGTCAACCCAAGATGTTTTAGCAACAAGAGTCTTGTTGCTGATAATTAAATGAATAGT